TATTCCATCTCCGCCGCGTTGTAAGGAAGGTCAAGCAATTCACTTAATAACCTGGGTCTGAAGGGATCTTTTTTTTTGTCCATTGAGAAGTTGGGTGAGTATATGACAATGAATTGAAGTTATGCCAAAATTATTGCTATATGCTAACACGCGGACTCTTAGATGGATTACTTGCCAGAGAATACATAGTCAACTAATCGATGAAACAAGGAATTCTCTGTTATCTCATTGTTTTGTTGTATCTCCTTTCTCTGTCGTTTTAATCAGAATACTATTCAGTCAGTTGTCTACCACAACAATTTTTACATGCATACTGATCGCTCTCTACTTACCTGCGACATTAAAGCATCCAATAAATTGCTCTGACATAACACTTCGAATTTTTGCGCGTCATTATCGGGACGAGGCTACAGAAATTCGGCTTTTAACGATAAAAAAAAATATATAACATCGTCTTAACATTGAATACCCACTGTATCGCAATTGGTCAAACCCATTTCGCAATCCCGATCATAAAAGTCATCGAATAATTCAGAAATATCAATATTCTATGCAATGATGAAATAGGACCAGCAACAAGTTAGCGGTTGACTCACACATGGATGCTTCTACATACTCATCGTTCCGTTACCCCTCTTTTCCATATTCATTTCTCTTATTAGCTTACCAATACGACCCCAGTGTTTGTAACGTCTGTCAAAGCGACTTGGTGATGATTATTCTCTTGTTCTCTTCCACTAATCAGTTCACTTCTATTCATTATCGCATTCTCCTCCTCCTCCTCCACCTCTATCTTCACATTAGCTAATTCGATATCGATGGTGCCAGGTCCTTGTCCAACAACGAGTGTCTCCCTCGTCGATCCGGTGATCTCGTCTTTAGGTGGGGGTTCGTTTGAAGAGTTGCTTTGATTGGTGATCGGTTGGTCAGTTGCAGAATCGTTTGAAGAGTTGTTTTGATTGTTGAGTGGTTGGACAGCCGTTTGGTCGTTTGAAGAGTTGCTTTTATTGGTGATCGGTTGGTCAGTTGAGGAATCGTTTGAAGAGTTGTTTTGATTGTTGAGTGGTTGGACAGCCGTTTGGTCGTTTGAAGAGGTGATGATTGTGTTGGGACTAAAAGATTGAACGAGTTTACAAGTTAATGTGTGCATGTGTGCATGTGTGCATGACTACCACAATTTGAAAGTACCGCCGATAAACAATAAGAAATAATCATGTGCATACGTCTTTCCATCTTCCTCCTCGTCAGTTAGTTCGATGTCGATGGCGTCAGGATTAATGACATGTGATGTGGAAATTTTGGGTCCTTGTCTAATACCACGTTTCTTCCTCTTCGATCTAGGAAGCTTGCTTCCAAGTGATGGGCCGTTTGAAGAGATGTTTTGATTGTTGAGTCGTTGAACAGCCGTGGAATTGCTTGAAGAGGCGTTTTGATTGGTGGTTCGATTGGGAAGAACGAGTTATACATGTGCATGCTTTTGCATGTCGAGCACAATTTAACAAGTAACCATCGACACTAATCATGTGCAATACGTACATCCCATCTTCTTCCTCGTCGTTTACGCGATGGAGTGACAGGAGTCTGAGTAACCGATCTCGATTCTTGCGTTATTGTCGCCGACGGTGATGGACAGGGTGTCTTTTGTCTTTCTTGTGTTTCTGAATGGAGGGAAAACGGTAAATTTCTGGGTAGTCGTGGGCTTGTTTGAAGAGGTGTTCCGATTGACGAAGAAGACGCCGGGACTAGAATGATATAAGTAGTCAAAATTGAACTAGTTATTACATGTGCGTATGCGTGTGTGCGTGTTTAGCATGCTTAGCAGTAACCAAAAAACAAACGATAGAAATAATCCTCTGTATAGGTACATTGCAGTTCCTCTTCATTTCGGCATTCCTCACGTTCAGCCATTGCCAACTCCTTTTCTATGTCTGTCAACACAGAAGGCGGTAACCTATCTTTAATTTCGCTAACGAGTCTGCTTCTCTTGGCAAAAAGTTTTGGTATCCTTGGTATTGATGTATCACTAACCATCTTCTCGTGAAGTTTGATTGCTTCTGCAAGTCTTCCATGATGAAGATCAAACATAACAAGAAAGTCTTTGGTACCAAGAAGATTTTCCTTTTTGCAATATTTTCTTAGGTATTCCATCTCCGCCGCGTTGTAAGGAAGGTCAAGCAATTCACTTAATAACCTGGGTCTGAAGGGATCTTTTTTTTT